TTTGTTTTGCAGTGGAGAATGCAAGTGCATGATGTTCCTTATCCTGCAATGCCAGAGCATACTGGGGCCTTTCTAGGCACTGGGAGGAAATGGAGGAGCCCACTCTTAAAACTATTAAGTTCCACAGAGATATCAAGCATGCCCTGGTGTATCCATTTCCTACTGAAGGTGGTGAACATTGCTTCTGAGAGAAGCTGTCAGGAAAATTCAAGGACATTGGTTTCTCAGACTGCCATTATAATAGCACTGAGTTGAAGATGAGTTACAGTGTCAAGACCTGAGATATTCACTTCCCATGGAGAAGGAAGTGCAGAGTTGTCAGCTGCTCCAAAACAGTACTGGAAGGAACTTGGGGAGTATCACTTTTCATCTGTGGTACTGCTTTTGCAAGAGGATATTGGGAAGATTTGGGGTTATCAAATCCTCAACTTGTGGACCAGTGGGAGTGGGGAAAAAATACCTTCCTTGTTTAGGTATCTATTCAGATGCAGAGGATGAGGCTACTTCTTCCAAGGAATATTAGTACAGCTGAGAAGTCTCACTTCCTTGAGAATCCTGGAGGCTGCAATGGTATCAGTTCAGTGGAGGGATACCAGTTCTCTGAACAGACTGTCAGTTCTCAGGTTCCAGAGCATCAGTTCCATACTGCCTATCAAGGATTAAATTCTCCAGGGGATAGAAGGAAGGCATTTATGGAAGCATCAGGTGACTGCATGGGTCCTGGTTCAGGGCAGTATCAGAATGAGAAGTAGGCTCATAGAATCACAGAATGGCCTGGGTTGAAAAGGACCACAGTGATCATCTAATTTCAATCCCCTGCTGTGTGCAGGGTCACCAACCAGCAGACCAGGCTGCCCAGAGCCACAAAGGAAACAGAAACACATCCCTTTGAGAAAACTGAGGTGGTTCAGAGAAACAGTGGTCTGCCTGTTTATAAAGTCAGTTTTGGAGTAATGCTTCCCTTGGGGTATCATATGAATTGGCAGGGCAATTAAAGAATGTATTCAGGGGTACTAGATCTCCCAGGGTTACATTTGCAGATAGTGGTTCTGTTTTGGGAAACCTTATTCTCCAAAGCTATCAGGGCAGTTTAAGGAGATATCAGATTCAAGATGCAATGGTATGTTGGGGATGAATTTAAAAGCACCAAGGAGGCTGGGCTCAGCCGTATCTGCTTGTCTGGGAACAGACTTGAAATTGCATTGGGAGAGCTGAGGGAGCTCCTGTGGATGAGGTCAGGGGAAGCAGGTAGGTTCAGAGAGTTCAGTTCCCCAAGGAGCGAGCTCAGCAGGCAGCTGTTGGCTTTGGGAAAAGCCAGCTTCCCTGGGAAAAGAGTTCAGTAGGTATCAGATCCCTTGGGTGAGTTTACAGGGATCTCAAGTCCTTTGAGAGTCACTAGTGGATATCCTGAGGGGTGTCAGGTGAGCTGGGGCGTAAGGTATTCAGAGGATACCAGTTTCCCCAGGGATTTTAAGTTAATTGAGGAGGTACCCAACCTCTCATGGGGATTAGTAGGTGGGGATTAGTCAGGCAGGCTGACTAGGCTAGGCCTTTGAGAAGATATAAGGTGAATTTGGAGATAACAGGTCTCCTGGGGAGTTAGAGAAGGGTCTGAAGGAGTACCAGGTTCCCTGGGAATGTGCTCAGGGACACCAGGCTTCCAAGGGAACCAGGCAGGCACGGCTCACTGAAAGGACCCTGGAGCAGCTGGGCTGTGCAGAGGCCTCACAGGGCTCCTTCAGCAGGGCTACCTGCAAGACCAGGCAGGGACTGGGGGTACCCCGGATGGAAGGGGCCTGAGGCACCGATGCCGAGGGTTCCCGGGAGCTGGGCTGCCCAGGCGCTGCGCTCACCATGGGGTCCCTGAAGGAGCAGCCCGGTAGGAAGGGCAGGCCCGACCTCGGCTCCGAGCTCATGGCGGCTGCGCTCGCTCCCAGCGACGCCGTCTCCATGACAACCGCTGGGCGCGCCCCAGTGCGCATGCTCACTAAGCAGAAGGGCGCATGCGCACTGAGCCGCCCCGGCGCTTCGCGCCTGCGCCCTGACCGAAAGGGAGAGGGGTTGCCGTGGCAACGGGAGGGCGGGAGCGGCCTTGGCCCGGCCGCGCGCCCTGTGGGGCTGGGCCCCGGGTGCCGCCGGCCGCGTTGTGTGCAAAAACGGCCGCCTTGGGGCCGGGGAAGGTGTTCCTGATCGTATTTCTCTCATTTGAGACGTCCTTCAGCCTGCTGCAGGCTGCAGCCATGTTCCCCGCGCAGTTGGGTCTGTGTGCGCGGGACTGAAACAGTGCCTGTCTTCAGAACAGGCGGCAGCAGCCTGGCCTCCTGGTGGGAGAAAAGGAGGGGCAGATCTGTACCTCGGCGCTCACAATACTCAATAGGAAAAGGGCTTGTGCTCATTTACCGTCTGCTATATATATATACATACATGTTAGCTGTGAGATAGGGGGTTGTGACACTGACACGGATTCCAACGTGAGTTTTCACGTTTAGGAAGCAGGAAGGGAAAGTTCCTGTGGAAAAGTTGCTCTGAAGTGTAACAGATAAAGAGAGTTACATCAATCACCATGGAGAAAAGAGGGTTTTGTGTTTCTTCCCTTTGGTGCCTTTAAGGCAGAGCAGGCTGTGATTCACAGGCAGGCAGCAGGATGTGAGGGTTTGTAAGCAGAAGTCAAGCAGAGAGAAACACAGAGACAAAAAGCAACAGGGAGATAAAGGCGTCTGATGAGCTCAAAATAGGGAAATAGCTTGAAGGCCAAGCAGGGCTGAAAGGCAGCAGGCAGACAGTGAGGAACTTGGATGTGGGCGATGGGGCATAAGCAATGTCTGATTGCTCCTGCTGTGGTATCCAGATGTCATTCAGCAGGTATCTTAGGCACAAGGGCCAGTGCCTTCCTCAGGGAAGGAAACTTGCCTCCTTGGGCCGTGTGTTATTCTGTAAGGTAGTGACAGCAGCTTTTTTACAAGGCTGCGTGGCAAAGTGCCTCTTATGCACAGCTTGCAGTGGGGCAGGAGAGCTGCAATCCCACAGTTTGCAGGGGTGAACTAAAGCAAAGAGAGGCCATGAGATTTATGCAGGGTCACAGAGTAGAAGCTTCGGCTCCAGACATGAGCAGGGACTGGATCAGGACACTTCAGATCCTCTGAGTGTTTGAAGGCAGATGGGGATGAAGAAAGTTGTGGCAGAAAGGGGCATCTTTGACACCTCTGTACATTCAAATCAGTCTTGGCATGGTTAAGACAAGCCTCGTCAGCTTCTTGCATCTCTACAACTCTGCTCATGAAAAGCAAAAGGATCAGTGTTTCCTGTATCAAGATTTCCTAGTTCTTACCTGCTGAAAGCCCATGTGTTTTGGAGGAAAGGCTGTGCTGTTACGTCTATTCACACCCCTGTAATGTATGGCAATAAACAGCCCAACCTGTGAATCCCCATGCTACAGCAATGGCCGATGTTTCAATATGCCCCATCTGTGCTCTGAGAGATCCAAGGACTATTTACAAAGGGTTTGTTAAAAAACACTTTGAAGTATGGGCTTACTAGCAGTAGGCTGAAATGTGATACCCACAAGCCTGGTAAAATCAGGGATTCATAAATCAGAATGCTGTCCCCCACTGCTTTCTACACTGCTCTGTTGTCATTTGTACATTGCACACTTGGATTTTTCCTTTCTTCCACACGCCATCTATCCCCCTGGCCCCAATTTGATAAAGGCATGTGAGGGTGCTGCTAAAAAATGAGCTTAGCGCTCTTCACTTCATAGCTGGAGGAACTGCTTTTGATTGAGAGCGGATCTTACCTCCAACCTGAACAAAGCAAACAACGTCAGAATAAATAAGCTGTCACTGGGGACAGCTGCAGAGTTTAAGACCCAGCAGGTGGCTTAATCCCTTATGTTTCAGGTATGTTCAATCCTCATTTTCACGCTGGATGAACAAACTTCTCTCTCTGGATTCAGCAGGAGCAGCAGGCAACGTGGGGAAGCATTCTTCCCCTGACCTACTTGCAGAGCCGAGCATCAACAGCTGCTTAACAAAAGAAAGAAGGAAATATCTCATTTGGAGCTGCTCGCTGAGGCTCTGCCTCATATTCCCAGAGATCTGCAAGGATAAAACCAGGCAAAGATTGCCTTGGGGTAAAAGAACTCTCTCTTCTGACGTTACTGAGAATATCTGCAGCAGTATCAGGTGCTCGAGATCATACCTTCTCTCTCATTCCCCCCTCTGTGTGAAGGAGACAGACCAAAATGCTTTGTTCCTCTGACTTGGAAGCTCTTGTATTTTTTGCATTTGACTTCATCTGCTTGGGATAAACCCGTTCCCTCTGTTGCTAATAACAGCCTCTAGCTTTCCAGGCACTGAGGAGTTGTATGCGTAAAATCAAATAGGAAAGGCCACGTAGGAAGTGCATTCCCTGGAGCAGTATTGCCAAGCAGCATACCACAAGCCTCTATTTTTGTTTCTTGTTAACAAGGTTAACAGCCTTGTTGTTCTGTTTTGTCCCATTCTTCTTCAGCTTTTACTTCATGGAAACATAAAACCTTGGCTTCACTTGTCTGGCAAAATCCCTGTCACTTACGCAGAGGGCGAGACGTTTGCAAAGCACATCCCTGGCTCGGAAATGCATCTCTGCAGGGCTGGCTGCACGCCCGCTTGAGTGGGAGCATTTTTTCCCTAAGCCTGTCTGCAGAGTTCCAGCAGGGCCTGCAGGCTGTGCTTTCGTGGCACTCGGGCCTCTTGCAGCCACGAAGGTGAAGGCATCTCGCCCTCTGCTGGGCGGAAGCACAGCAGCACAGAGGCCTCGCTCTGCATGCGACGATAAGAAATAACGATTGAAATGACTTGGCACAGTGCTAACAGAAGGAAAAAGAGCTGACTTCCTAAGCGACTGAAATTCACGCCGATGGATATCCTAGAGGTGGGGCATGTATGTGATTGTGTGTGGCCATGCTTTCTTCCTAATGATTCATAACCTTTTTTGTGCATTTGGGAACTTCACACCACACATTTTACTTTCACAGTTTTGTTTTGTTTTTCACTGGAGGTTTTTAAATAATGATCAGTACAGTACAAAGCTTAAAACATTACCAATGTTTTCAACAATACAAAGTCAGCAGATGGAAGGTGGGAAGGGGATGGTTAATATCTAACCCCCATACCCTTCTCTATTTCCCAGGGGGGAAAAAAAAAATACAAACTCTTTTTGTCCTTCTGTTTAGTAACAAACAGTGCTTAAAAATAATCTTGTCAGTAAAAAATGTAAATTGCAAGGCACATGAGGAACCCGTCCTTGCCCTGCTACACAAATCACCAGGCAAAAAATCCAAGTTTAAGGCGAGTTTAAGGTACCTCTCTCCATCCTCCCCCTTCTGCTCCACCACAGACCAGCAGATAACAAAGAGGCTGCCCCTGGTTCCTTCGGTATAAATCCCTGCAGGTAACAGCATAAGGCACATTGGGATGACTGCTCAGCTGACCTGTGCAGATCCAACTTGTGAGATCTGCTACAGTACCATCGTAGGGCCAGAGATTCTTGAGGGTGAGGGCCTTCAGGATCCAAAAAGTGCTTAACTCCCTGCCACCAGGACACCCAGCCCAGCCGTGCCTCCTCAAAGGAGCACCAGGATGGACGAAGCCGTGCTCCAAGCAGCGAGCCCAAAGGTGAAGACCCTGGCAGGCTCTCAGTTTAGCACAGCTGCGCTTTTACTGTCTCAGCAGCTCTGGTCTCCTCTAGATCAACAGCACAGTTCTCAGGAGGGCACTGGCAGCCACTTCCCAGGTCCTTTTCCTGAGGTGGAACAGAGTGCTCAGCATGTTGAGTTTGCTCAGGTAGGCAGCCGGGTGCGTAAGGCACAAGTCCTGGGGTGAAGGAACAAACCTCTTTGTTGGAGGCAGACGAGGAGGATGGAGACAGAGACAGGGGAAGCTCCAGTGTAGACAAGTCCCTTTGGACACCAGGGGTGCACCCTCACAGCAGCAGCAATTTGGGTGGCAGTTGCCTGCAAAATTGACCCATCATAGTAATGAGGAAGTCAGCTCCAGGTCTGAGTGCAGGGCCACGCGGGCACGTGAGTGGCTTCACTTGAGGGGTACCATGGGGATATGCAGAAACACCACTACTGTCACACCACAGTTGATTCAGAAGGAGAAGTTCCACTTCTGCTGTAGCACGGAGATGACATTTGACCAGAAATACCTCGGGAAATTAATGAAGGACCTCCTCCTACCCTGCTGTGAACTGGACAGCATTACTACAATCATCCTTCTTTAGCCAGGGGCTGGACATCACATATTTTAACAGCCTTAGAGAAGCAAACGCCCGGGTGACCCCTGTCTTTTGATACCAGTATTACTAAGTGATAACAGCACAGTCTGCTGTTAGCAGCAATGCCCACTCCCTCCGTTTTAGTTCAGAACAAAACCGTGGACCGGCCTGTAACTGGCTTATTCTCCATTATCTGCCACAAAGGCAAAGCAAATTTGGCTGTGAGAAGCAGCCTACCTGCTCCTACTGGAAGTCTTCTCCCAAACTGAGAGGAGACCCACGTGTGCAGGCAGCCCTGCTGCCCAAGTAAGCTGGCTGGATGTTAAAACCAGGAGAAAATCACTGACATTTTTTCAGTAGGGTTGCTTTTCTGCTGGTCCATCTCCCAGCCATTTTCTTGCTCCATAGTCAGATAAACCTCTGTGCAGAAGGTGCAGTGTGAGGAGGGGTAAGTCAATAAGCAGCGTAGGAAATGAAGTCATTACCAATTTCTGAGTGCTCCTAAGCTGGGCTAGATGTGAACAGGAAGCCCACAGTGAGGGGAAAGGATGGACTAGATGACTTCTCCAAATTTCTCCTGTGATTTCTTCTCTTGTGATCAAAAATTGCTCTCTTCATCCTTCAATTTATCAATTAGGCCAGAGTTTCAGGTTTGTGCACAAAACCTTTCTTTTTGTTGCAGCCAGGTACCTACTGATAGGTGAGTTTTCAGAGATGTTGTTGTCTGGCCCCCATGCTCCTCCAGCAGCACGGCATTACTTCCTTCAAGCTAATCTTGACCCAGCTAGGACGCTCTGTAGATAAAAAAGCCGAAGGCAAAACCTTTCTGGGTATTAAATCAGGCATGCATGCACATGCCCAAACATATCTCAATAATTAAAAACCAGATCAAGTGCAGAAATCAGTGCTTGCCTTGACAAATCATCTCCCCAACCCTAAAGTCTTCCTGCTCGACACCAGCAACCACCATTCATTTGCCTGTCCTTGGATTCAGAACTGTGGCTGGAATTGATCCCACATCTTTCTTGCTTTCAGTGAAGATTTATATATCGTGCTATAGATGTCATGACATTTGAGTATTCAGCTCTTCTGTAAGAATACAGCTGGAAGGACTCAGAGTTAACTGTAAAAAGCGAGAAGTACGTTGACCAGAAGGTATGTAGTCTGGAATCTATCTGTATGGGCTCAGAGCATCCAGTCCTGTAAGTGCTGCTAACTTCAGTGCCACAGTATGGCTCCATACCTCAAATATCCCTCCAGCAATTACAGAAGAGATTCATTTAGCTGAGGACACCATAAAACAACCCTTCCTGCTCTCTAGACAGCAGTGACTCACAGACACCAGTGTTCCTGACCACTATATTTGCTGCTCCACACAAGAACCTCCAAGTTCCAAGGACAAACCCTTTCCAAGGTTACAAAACACCTTAATTCTGTCAACCTGCTCCTTCCTTTTGCCATTCTACCTTCATCTAATGCCGATAAAAACATGCCTGATTCAAAGCCCCATAAGTCAGAGAAGAGCAACCTTGCAGATTCACGGCCATCTTTCCCACAAGGTCCACCAAGGATTGCTTGGCATCCTGAAAAGGACCGTTAAAAAGGGAATAAAGACTCCACATCCACTTCACTTTCATCCTCTTTTGGCCATGACCATTCCTAGGAGGCCCAGAGCCCAGCGGCTTTCCCATACCAGACAGATCACACCCAAGTAAGTTCTGTGCTGCATGGTCAGAATTGGAGGCCAGTCAGACTCCCATGGCAGATGATACAGGATCAGGCTTTGCAGGAATGTATGAACATGTCACGCAGGCAGAAAAAGAGGCACTTCTCTCTACAAATACAGTTCCCCTCCCACTGCCAGCATCTTGAATGCTGATCGCTGGTCGCAGGGGAGCTCAACCTCTACTACTGCTACAGAGAAAAGCTAAGAAAATCAGCTCCAACCCGTTCCAGGGCCAAGTCCTCAAGGGCAAGTAAGCACTTAAAATGGAAGGCAGGAGCCTCTGAAGAGCTGGGACAGCCTGCTTGGGCTTTGCTAAGCAGTTTCACCACAGATGGTGCAACTGTGCAGAAAGAAAAGATACAGATGACCCAACATCCCCAACCAGGGGGTGCTGGGCCACAGCAGCACCTGGCAGACGTGGGGGCCAGGTTCAGTTCCAGTTGATTTGAGAGGACTCTAGGTCAAGTCTTGGTCTGCAAGCATGCTTTGCTGATGTCACCTCAGCAACCTGCTGCTGAGATACTTCAAGGGGTCATAGATAAAATCTGATGTAGCTGAGCTGGAGCTGGGAAAGGATTAGTCCAGCCACTGTTACACACGCCCTTGCGAATGAACCCTAGAAATGAAATCTTACAACTGCTTTTGATGTTAGCAAGTCTCTCCTTGGCCAGCAGAAATGGCAAAACCCAAAGATGTCAACATGTCCACTCAGAAATGGCAAAACCCAAAGATGTCAACATGTCCACTCGGAGGCCTCATGGTGGGTTTTCCCTGTGCTGTGTGCCCTAGAAAACCCTTCTGCAGTTGCACAGCCCTCTGGCTACCATCCTTCACGTTCGGTGAGGTATCTCCCACAGGTTCACTAGAGAGAACAAAGAACCTATGCCTATTCCAGTACCTTGGTTAAGTGACTTTTGTGGCTTAAAACACCCCATGTCCCCCTGCATGGCAGAAGGCAGCTCCTGCTGTGAAAATGCACCCAGCATGAAGCGTCCAGCCCTCCACCCCAGTCCAAGGTCCAGGTTAGTCACAGTGTGTTAGGCAAATAAGCCAGTTATGCCTCTAAGATGCTATGCCCCTTATTATTTTTTTCCTTTTTGGGTGGTGGCCCATCACCTTCACGATTCTCAGGAGTCCTTTTTAGCTAGGATGGCCTTGATCCTGCATCGCAGGATGTAAGCTGTGATGGCACTGCAGGCCACCAAGCCGAAAAAAGAGACGCAGGAGAGATAGATGGAAAAAGGCCCGTGTCTTTTGAGGAAGATCTCCTGCCTGTTCTTGTAATCCAAACAAATGGCCTCCAGCTGCGATAGGGTGCAGATAGCCAGGAAGGCGTGGAAGATCTGGTGGGCATGGCCAACGATATCACAGGAGCCAGGGAAGTACTTCTCAGGAACCGGGCAGGAGAAGAAATAAGCACTGATAAGGAAAAACAGTATCTGGTACGTGTGGTACCAAGCAGCATCTTCCTGACAGCCCCCCAGGTGACACACGACCACCCGGTGAGCGACAGGACTGATATCCAAGATGAAGGCCAGCCCGGCTGGGATCACCTGGCACATTTTCCTCATGATGGGGTAAGGCCGTCGGTACCGGTATTTGGCGTAGCAGCATCCAGCACACGACAGCCAGCCACAGAAAGCAGCTGCCGGGAGGAAGAAAAGCCAGAATTTGTCATACCACGCCTGGTCGGAGCTGTAGTAGAAGTGGGCCAGGGCACTACCGTACTGGTAGGTGCTGACCCCGACGTAGTCCACGAAGTAGAAAGTGTAGTGGTACAGCTCTGACTTGGACTGCAGCAGGTGGGCCAGGAGGCTGCAGGTCAGGTAGGTGACAGAGGAGAGGACAAAGATGAGCAGAGGCAGAGACCAAGCATCCAGGGGTAGCTGCTCGCCTTCCACAAATGCTTTGAACCTCAGCAGCACGGCCAGCGCCGCCAGGAGATGAGTCCAGACGTTGACCACCTCGTTGTGCTTCTGGAAGAGGCTGAGGAAGTAATACCTCCAGTCCTGCCCAGTGGGACGGTACCCGGCGTGGATGTACGGCTCACGGAAGAGCTGTGGCACCTCTCCCTGTGGGACGGTGCACGGCATCTTGGGGAAGCCATCCTCCAGCAGGCGGGGAAGGCGGCTGAGCTGCGGCCCGCTGAGGGACAGCGTGCTGAGGCGCTCCAGGATGGCCGTCATCATGGGGGGACGTCGTCCTCGTGCCCTGCAGGAAGGAGAGAGGGAGGAAATGTTAATGGGAAGGCATTGGGAGAAGAGCGTGGCAGTGCCGCTGGGTGAGACACAGCACGGTGCAAATACCAGGGAGAATTTATCCGCAGAAAGAAGGGGGATGCACAGGAACGGGCTGCCCGGGGAGGTGGGGGGGTCACCGTCCCTGGGGGTGTTCAGGAACCGTGGAGATGTGAGGAACACGGCCTGTGAGCGTGGTGGGGTGGGCTGCAGTTGGACTCGGGGATCGCAGATCGCTTTTCCAAACGTCACGATTCTGTGGTGATATCAAGATGCAGGCCCTGCCTGGAGAGGCAAAGCAAAGGGCTTTTCTGGACTAGGCAGACCTGAATTCAGCACACAGGAGGATGTCTCTGTGGTTCGGCCTAGATTAGATAGAAACAGAAACATGACATCCTGCACTTAGTCCCCACCTCCTTGGCAGTCTCATGGGGCATGTTTAGGGCTAGCTGCCAATAAAGGGGGGCAAGAAGCAGTTAGGGGAGATTTTACAGAGGAAATCTCAGGAGAGATTTAGACTGCATTTAAGGAGGTTTTTTTTACAATAAAAGTAGTGAAGCACTGGAACACAGTGCTGGGTGCCCCATCCCCGCAGGCACCCAAGGTCAGGCTGGACAGGGCTCTGAGCACCCGATGGAGCTGTAGGCGTCCCTGTTCATTGCAGGGAGTGGGACCATATGGCCTTTAAATGCCCCTTCCAACTCACATGATTCTCAAGCACCTGTGGAGGGGGTTTTTCACCCTTTCAGCCAGAACAAACCACTCAGGGACAAAACAAGGACATAACGATTCATCTAAGGGTAACTTGCTTTTCTTTAAGTGGATTTGCAACCAAATCCTGAAGGCTACAAATAAGGCTGGCTTTCCTGCCACATAATTTGCAGATGGGGTGCATGCCCAGGGCTGCAGCAATCAGTTGGGCAGAGGGGAGGGAATTCCACAGCCCTCATTCCCCCCTATGGAAGAGGCAGCAGGACAGGAGATGACAGTGAAATGAGAGGAGCTGGGCTAGATAACCTCACATTGCCGACTTCACCCCTAATCACCTGTTTCCATTCCACCCAAGAAGCTTCTCTTCCCTGCTGGCATTTACAGTACATTTAAAAAAAAAAAAGGAAGAAAAAAGAACTCATCACACACGACTGTGCTTAGACTGAATCTGCTGCTGATGAAGCAGGCTCTGTACTCGTGTCCAGCCAACACTGCATATTTGCAGGACTGGGGCTGGACTCCTAAGCTCATTTATACACCCAAGTGCATAGAGACGACCAGAAAGTAAGTAAATGTTAATGAGTATTTTGCATGAGCGTGGGAAATGCTTTATTTTTCTTTTGTAGCATCTGCTGTGAGAGGCAGAGGACTGCTCTGAGCAGATACACACCAGGAGGCCCTCAGCAAGCTGGGGACACCGTATGATGTTAAAAACCAAGAGGAAGTGAAAGCAGAGATGGGAGCTGACGAACAGTCCCAGGGTGAGATAGCACAAAGAGCCAAGCCTGAGCAGACTCTGCACTGGCTTGCAAGGTCCCACTTCCCCTCACAACTCAAAGCTTCTGATAACAGACAAAACATTTTCACTTTACTTCCTTGTTCTAGCAGATAGGAACTGTCACAGCTGACATATTGCATTTTCCAGCCAGTTCTTTCTCCTTGTGCTTTCAAGGCTTTCTTCGTTAGCATCTCTCAAGCCTGTTTGGATTTTTTTTCCTTCTTTGCCACATAGAAAGTGGCTGCTGCGTCTGCTGGAGCCACCCTACAAGAGTTGGAAGGAAAGGTGGTTCCTAAAATGGAGTGTCACAGCTAAAATAGGGTCACAGCTGTGCCAAGCTGAAGGCAGAGCCCTCACTGAGGGTCTGACATGGGCAGATTCCCTTTATTCCTGTCCTGAGGGGGCAGACCCATGATGGAACATGTGCTTATTCAGCAGCTTGTGTATTCCTAGGGGATACGTGCCAACATTTGGGAAGGCAGATTTGAACTCTGAGGGGATGGTGTGAAAAATGGACAATACTCCCCAGTTCCAATGAAGGCACACTCATTTGATACAGTCTGTTCCGACTCCTTATTGCTGATAGAGAAAGAAAAAACTCATTCATTCAATTTAATCTAGACCTCAGCTTCAGGATAAAGCAGAGCCCAGGCAAGGAGAGCAGCTCTGCCTATGCAGATTGCAATACTCCCCCTCTGTTGCCCTATCTGAATGCTGTTCTAGCTTCAAGTACAACAGCACAAGACTATATGGGCAGCTGTGGGGAAAGCTATCTCCATCCTAGGCAGAGCCAACACGCAGATTAATGGTTGGACTGGACCATCTTGAAAGTCTTTTCTAACCTCAGTGATCCTGTATCTCCTGTGGATGAGCTGGACAGGACTTGAGGCTGAGCACAGTGTGGTGGGAAGGGCAGGAAGGTTTTATGCACGTTCTACTGAGATGATGTTTGACTTTCTGGTCCAGGTGCAAAGAGGCTACATGAAGCCTGTGTGTATTCACATCCCCAGGCAGGCTCTGCAGAACTCCCCATGAACTGGTGGTGTCCCTCCAGCACAGGCAGTTTTGAGCTACGGAAAGCAGCTTCTCAGGGTTTTGAGCACGATCCCATGACCCAACCGTGACGATCCATTTTGCAGCAGCATGCCTGCTTCAAGGACAGGTTCTCTGGGGTCAGCATGCATCATGTAGAGCCCCAACCCATTGCCAGTGCACCACCAGGCTGCCCTGGTACTGCAGCAGCTGATTGCCTCTATTTGCCTAGGCATCTGCTGCCTCCACATGATGCGGAAGGGTGCGAGTATGGACTCTGAAACGCTTTGGGCATCCTAAACTCATCTACCTGTCTGTCCACCTGCTCCCATGCGTTATCTGCCTCTCACCATTTGCTCTGATGGGACCCAAGCAAGAGGGCTTACCATAGAACTGTCCAAATTGGAAGAGACCTTTCAGGAAGGGACCTCTAGGCCCACTCCCTGTGCTGAGCAGGGATATCCACAGCTCCAGCAGTGCTCACAGCCCATCCAGTCTGACCGTGGCTGTCTGCAGGGATGGGGCACCACTGCCTCTCTGTGCAACCTGTGCTCCTGCCTTACAACTCTTATGGCAAAGAAACTTTTTCCAATTTAAACTTCCCCTCTTTTAGTCTGAACCATTTCCCACTGTCCTATCACCTAACTTCCAGCATTTGCTTTGATATAACCCAAGCATAGTGGCTTGAACTCCATCACCCAGCATCCCTTTAACTAAGCATGGTCCAAGGATCTGGGTTTCCTGCAGGGGGTTCAGTGCTACATCTTCACCTCAACTCAGCACAATGCTGCAGAACCCTCCAGGAAGGTGCATAAGCACCAAAACTGGTGCTCATGGTGACAAGGTGCAGGGAGAAAGGGCTCCCAGAGCTCCCCAAAAGATGGAGGAGACAAACACTCCTGCTGACACCGGGACATCAGAAACTGAAAAAGCTGGACAAAGCCTGGATTGCACAAGCAAAGAGCAGGGTGCAAGGATGCAGATGGGTGCAAGGGGCACGGTGTGATTTCCACTGCCCCTGGCATGCCTGCTTTGCATGCTGATGAGCATATGAAAGGGACAGCAGCATCTGTACCAGGCACAGGCTGGCTCTGGCTTGCACACCAGGATTTTGCCATGGTCTCATCTTGGATACAGCAAGCATCGCCCTTGAGCAGTTCTAGGGGAAGGCTGGGAACTGAGTGCAGAGATTCTTCCTGGCTGGGAAACGCCAGGTTTTACAGTGAAGAAGGAGGGGCAGACATTTCTTCAAGCTAACAGAACGGAATCACAAGAAACACATGCGGTGCTCAGACAAACAGTGAGTAAATCAGGAATCCAGCAGGCTTATTTTAAACCAAACTTGTGACACCGAGAAGCGAGAACAAGTTGGCAATTTGCAGCCATCATGTGATGGACAGAGCAACGAGCAATTAAAGAAAAGGGAGCGAGAAGGGGAATAACAACAAGAAAATAAGAGAGAGGAACCCCAAGGTCGGCACTGGCTGTTTTGCCTTCACAGAGCCCCTATTCTTTCCCTCCCGCGGGGGTGTCGGAGCAGCTGAAAGCCACATTCATCAGCAGGGCGCCTCGCTGCCATCCCCTCCTCACCCCCATCTCCGGGGGATTCACTTATTTTGGCTGCTCCCAATTAAAAGCAACCAAGTATCGTTTGTTCAGGGACGGAGCTGCCAGGAGGGGGTGAGCGGTGCCCAGGGGGGATCATTGCAGCCACAATACGAAGCGCGGCCCAGAGGAGGAACGATCCCGTTCCAATTTTGCTCTCCCTTTCTTCCAAAGTAATTGGAAACTCGAGCTTTTTCCCAGCTCTTTTGCTTTTGGTCACAGTCTAATGGAAGGGTTTGAATGAGAAGATTTCCTGCAGGGTACGGCTGATTTTCCCACCAGCCCGGCCTCGGTGTTAACTCTGTAAGTCAGCCTGCTCCATGTATTGGCTTGCAGGATGCTGCGTGGGCATCAGGCATTGACACACACACATCTGCTTCCAGACAGGCAGCAATGCCTGGGAAACAAAGCAGAGGGGTCCAGAGAGTCCTGGGGAAGTCTTTAACAGATGCACTGCATTTATAAAGAAAAGCAGTTGTGTACGGTGTGGAAGTAACAACAAATTCCTCAATTCCACTCATCTGAGAGCTGTGCAAAAGTCCATCGGCTGCACCACAGGTTGCTGCCTTGGAAACACAGCTGAGAAATGGAGATCCTAGAATGGCTCATAGCAGCAATTCTGCATCCTCTCAGCACTGCCAGAAAAATGGAGGTCCTCCAAGTGCTCAGATGTTCTGTGAATTGGGTTTCCACCTCCCAGTATTAAAGAAGAATACAAATCACAGAATCATGGAACCATAGAAAATCCTCATCTGCCTGAAGAGAGCTAGGTATTGTGCTCCTGATGTGCTGCTGTACCACACCAGGCCATGCTGGGACTGCAGCACAGAACATTACACTGAATATTTTATTTTCCTTGACACGTTTGTGTGCCCGGTTACATCCACATCAGCCCAATAGCTGTGTTATGAGTACTCAGCCAACAGGGACTCTGTGTGGGTCGGGATGCTTCGGAAAGAAACTGGTGATATAGAATCATAGAAGAATAGAATCATCAATATAGATCAATATAGATAGACATAGAATCATCAATGGAAGATACCTTCAAGATAATCAAGTCGTAGAATCACAGGGTGGTTTGGGTTGGCAAGGACATAAAGCCCTGCCGTGGGCAGGGACACCTCCCACAGCCCAGGCTGCCCACAGCCCCGTGCATGGCCTTGGGCACGGCAGGGATGAGCACCCACAGCTCTCTGGGCAGCAGTGCCACTGCCTTGCCTTCCTCATTGTGAAGCATTACTTTCTTACACCCAATCTATTTCTCCCCTCTTTTAGTTTAAGGCCATTACCTCTGGTCCCACCACTACACTTTCTGACAGAGTCCTTTCCACCTTCCCTGGAGGCCCCTTGAGGCATTGGAAGGCCACAATGAGAACTCCTCAAAGACTTCTCCAGACTGAATACACCCAGGTCTCAGCCTGTCCCCATAGGAAAGGTGCTCTACCCTCTGAGCATCTTCACGTCCTCCTCTGAATGCGCTCCAACAGCTCCATGTCCTTGTGCTGGGGCCCAGTGCTGTACGCAGTGCTTCAGCTTGGATCTCACAAGGCCCCACCACCAAGTCCAACCATCAGCCTTACCTACTGAACCCCGTCACTAAACCATGTCTCTTAGTGATGTTACGGTGCAGTCACCGTCCCTGGAGGTGCTCCAACTGTGGACACGTGGGTATGGCCAGCAGGCATGGTGGGGATGGGCTGACAGTTGACTTAGGGCTCTTAGAGATCCTCAACCTTAATGATTCTATCATTCACTGGAGACCTTGAAAGGGGAAGCTGGAAAGTAATCTGAATTCTACTAAGAAGCAAAGTAACCTAATGAAAATTTCACAGCGCATAGCCCAAATTCTACCTTTCTGTATATACTCACGGCACAGAGCTGAAGCAGGGTTTGTCCAAGTTTGTGTTCAATGGAACATTAATGCCTGATGATGACAGGACAGCATCCATTGAGGACGGTAGGAGATGGCAGGGTTCCCTTGCTGCTGGTGGTGGCATCTCCCCTGCAATTTCTGGTCAGAAAGCAGCTGGGCTGGCTGCCAGTTGAGCTGTGCGGAGCCATGAGTGCCCCTCAATGTGAGCTCAGCACTGCCTGCACCTCGGGCTGGATCCAGGAGATGGGAGCAGCAGGGACAGCAGCGTGAGCATTGAGCTCAGTAGGGATGGAGCAACAAGCTCTGCAGCAAAGTTTTGGGGACACAGCACCCTGCAAGGTCCTGAGGTATGCTGGGTACCCAACGTTAGGAAACCAAAGACTTGCATGTGGGATTTATTATTGAACCCAGATGTCACGTGCAAGGGCTGGAAGGGGCCTCTGGAGATCATCTAGCCCAAACCCCCACCAAAGCACTTCCCTACAGTTGGTTACACAGGAAAGCATCCAGGTTGGTTATGAATATGTCCAGAGAAGGAGACTCCACCACCTCTCTGTGCAGCCTGTGCCAGTGCTCCATCACCCACAAAGGAAAGCTGTTTTTCTACATGTTTGTATGGAGCTCCCTATTGTCCCAGTTTGTGCCCACTGTCCTTTGTTCTCTCACTGGGCACCACTGAAAAGAGCCTGGCCCCACGCACTTGACTCCCACACTTGAGATATTGATAAGCATTGATAAGATCCCTCCTCCAGACTGAACAGCCCCAGGGCTCTCAACTTTTCCTCATACAGGAGATGCTCCAACCCCCTCCACTGGACTCTCTCCAGCAGTTCCCTGTCTGTCTTGAGCTGAGGAGGCCAGAACTGGACATAGTGCTCCAGATGTGGCCTCCCCAGAGCAGAGCAGAGGGGAGGATCACCTCCCTTGCCCTGCTGGCCGTGCTGTGTGCAATGCACCTCAGCAAACCACTGGCCTTCCTGGCCACCAGGGCACACTGCAGGCTCACGGCCAACCAAGACACTGAGATTCTTCTCCTGGAGATCAGCCCTAACCTGTACTGATGTCTGCAAGTCAACTCGCCCTTGCTGAACCCCACCAGGTTCCTCTCTGTCAACTCTCAGCCTGCCCACATCTCTCTGAATGGCAGCACGGCCTCCTGCTGCGTCAGCCGTTCCTCCGAGCTCTGTATCATCAGCACCATTGCTGAGGTTGCATTCTATCCCTCCATCCAGGTCATTGATGAAGATATCGAATGAGACCAGACCCACAGGTTTTTCTTCTGACCTCACCACACCTTTGTTCTTTGCCCTTTCTACATTTGCTCACCAGTTTCTCCCCCCCACCCACACACACACAAAGCTTTCAGGTAGGTGTGAGACACCAGGGAGCAGCCTGCACCCACCAGGTGGAGCACCCTGACCTATGGAAACAAGAGCAAAGCACACTCCCCATCAGTCACCTGTGCATGCCACCTTGTTTGCACACTCCCAGCAGAGTTTTGTTGCAGCTACCCGCATTTGATTTGGGAAACTCCACCTTGCTTTGGAGCAAACAGGGTTTAGGCATGCAGGCAGCTGTACCCTGCCAGCGAGCTGTCATTCAGTCATGCAGTGATGGAGTGGGGTGGCTGACCTGACCCGCTTCGCACGCCAGCACTGGATTGAGCTGAATGGTGCCACAGAAATGCCCATTTTTTCTCCCCACAGGCTGAAAAGGGGATTTGGATTTGTTTCAACAGCATTTTGCTTTCACAACCTCCATCTCCTCCTGCCACGTCTGTGCAGCATCCTTCCCTCCCATCGCTGTGCACACAGCATCCCTGGGGCCTCTTTGCCCCAAAAGCATTGCTAGAAGATGTCTCAGAGCCTCCAGGCTGAGACTGCTCAGCTTTACTACAAAAAAGCCATCACCCACCGAAGTGCCTGATGCTCAAAAACATTTTGAAGGCTGCAGATTTTCGAGCTTGGCTCATCAGGAAAAAATGCCCATCCATCACGTGCGGCACCGCCGCTGCTGCGAGCAGGGAGACGG